TTATGAATGTACAGTTATGCAATTATGAATGTAAGTTATAAAATTATGAACACAGAGCTCTGACATTATGAACATAAAGTGATAAAACTATGAACATAGAGCTCTAAAATTGTGAACATGGAGCTTCGAAAATTATAATTTTACAGTTATTGAATTATAAATGTACAGTTACAGAATTATGAATGTACAGTTATGCAATTATGAATGTACAGTTATGTAATTATGAACACAGAGCTCAGACATTATAAACTTACAATATGAACATATAGTGATAAAATTATGAACATAGAGCTCTAAAATTGTGAACATAGAGCTTCAAAAATTATGAAGTTACAGTTATTGAATTATGAATGTACAGTTACGGAATTATGAATGTATAGTTATGGAAGTATGAATATACAGTTATAAAATTATGAATATAGAGCTCTGACATTATGAACATATAGTAATAAAATTATGAACATATACTCCTATAACGAAGCGGTCTGAATTTTTTTTTTTTTAAAGTGGAATATAACAGTGCCACTATCGACACTGTTACCTGTGTCCAGCGTGCATGCTGAACACGGATCAATGGCATAACGATTGTTGCAAGATGGACCTGGTCCATGTAATAAGAACTCGTAATTTCTGGGGCTTTGAATCTATTAGTCTGGGCTTTATGATGTTCTATTTTCATGCTCTAAGTTCTGAAAATGGGCTGTCTTTTCAATCGGGTCCATTAACACCCGTATTGGAGGTTGGACCCTTCAAAATTTGGAGAGTGTTTTTATATATGTTTTATGATTTTATCCTTCAAGCTGTAAAATAAAATCATAATACATAAAAATGGTGGAAAATACCCACAAATAAAAGGACAATGCTTCTCCCCGTATGTTTCTATCTCTTATAATCCATCAATATCTACTATCTACTATACTAATAAGAGCCCAAGATAGTTAGGCCTATAATAGGTAGAAAAAATGAGGTTAAATTTTTTAATCAAATGAATGGCTCAAATTGATCAGATTTTAATTTTTCCTTGAGATTTCCTAATTTATCCTTAATGAATATGATTATCTGTTAAATTTTCAGTTAAATATTATCTTTTCCGTTAATTTCTGTTAGTTCACCGTTAACTTACTCATTGATTTCAATAAGAAAGGTCTTAGGTTCGAACCTCATTCCAATCAAAGTTGGCATAATTAGTACTCTGTTTTACTTTTATTAAATTAAATAATAATTTAGTAGCTACAACAAAAAACAATACATATGCATTTCTTTAATTTAGAATTATGTGTCATGCCTTTTTTCAAAAAAAATTATTCATTATCAATAAATTAAATAAGAGAAATAAGGTGTTGTTTATATCAAAAAAAAAAAAAAATAAGAGAAATAATTTCATTACTTATATTGTCTTTATTTTTCTCCAATATAAAAATTCTTTACATTCAAAATTTAAATTCATCAATTGATTATATTCGCTACATTGTCCCTACAATGTCTTTATAAAAAAAAAATTATTCATTATCAATAAATTAATTAAGAGAAATAATTTCATTAGTATATTGTCTTTATTTTTCTCCAATATAAAAATTCTTTACATTCAAATTCATCAATTGATTATATTCACTACATTGTCTTTTTTTTTTGTTCACTATTTTTTAATTAAATATCAAAGTTATAATATAAAATAATGCTATATATTTATTTACCAAGTATTTTATTAATACCATGAAAAAATTTAAATTAATAAAGCCAATAATATTAACTACTTGAGGAATTTGTTGACAAAGAGAGTATTCAAATCACACAACAAATTGAAGTGAGAAACTACCTCGCAATGTCCTTGTTTAACAATTAGTAGTTAGCGGTTAGCCTTAGCGGATTATATTAGCAGATTTGACCAGCGAATTACATTAACGGTTGGTAAAAATATATTTGAAAAAATTAGCTGTTTAAATTAACATTTAAAATGACATAAGGGTATAACAATAATAATAATAATAATAATAATAATAATAATAATAATAATAATAATAATAATAATAATAACAACAACAACAACAACAACAACAACAACAATAATAATAATTATTTTAATAATAATTTTTTTAAAAAAAATATAGATGTGTTTTGGGAAAATCATTCTCAAAAACGCTAAGTGAAAATATTATAAATTGTAATGTTTGTATTTTCAGTGGTTTGGAACAAATTATTGCTTCAAACTGTTCAATAACCAAAACACTTTCTTTAGCATTTTGAGCTTTGGGTTACATCATATTTACCAATCGTCAATATCTTTGGGTTACATTATAATTAAAAATTTAAAATTTTTACTACATCTAAATTCCTTAAATTAGGAACTTCTTTATCCATAATAATTTATACAACAATAATGGTTGAACTAAATGAATACTGAGCAAAACACCTAAAGGACTGGTGCCGTTGAGTCATTCATTGATCTTGTATATATGTGTATTCATTAAATATATTAGAACTCTTTGCAACAAAAATACTTGGTTACTATTTAAATAAAGTTTAATAATAATTATAATGAATCTCCTATATTACATTGTATTCATATACGTACTATGAATTACATATTTAAATAAACAAATTAGACATTAAATTACTTATGTTAAACTTCTTATATATAATCTTGCATTGATATACTTTTAAATATTTATTTAATTATAAACATTGGGTAGAAAAAATGACCGTCAAATTATTAAATCAAATGAAAGTTCATATTGTTCAGATTTTTGTTTTTTCCTTGAGATTTCCTAATTTATCCTTAATTATATGATTTTTAGATCCTTTAACTTTTTCATTAAGTACGATTAATTCACCGTTAGTTTAATTCTAATATTAAAGTCTAATATAGAATTAAACTACAACATTAATCTAATTCTAATATTATTAAAGTCTTAATAAAACTCTAACCACAAATCCGGCAAATTATGATGTGAGCATGTGCCCACCTTGCAAGGTGAGCACGGTTCCATATCCATAATTTCTATACTGTAGATCCATATTTTTTATACTGTAGATTCATAAAATTTATACTTTTGATTCTAATTGTTGAACTCTGTTTTCACAACTCATAGAACTATATGTTCATAATTGATAACTATACAGTTTAAAAATTATGAATTTACAGTACATAAATTATGAATCTACAATACAGATATTATGAATCTGCAGTATAGAAATTATGAATATACTATATAGAAATTATGAATCTACTGTATTTAAATTATGAATCTACGGTTTAGAAATTATGAATCTAAAGTATAAAAATTATGGATCTACAATATAAAAATTATGAATCTACAGTATAGAAATTATGGATATAGAACCGTGCCCACCTTGCAAGGTGGGCACGTGCTCACAGCATAACGCTCCTACTGCCGGAATCTCCTCAAACAATATTAGTATTTATTTAATATTTTATGCTTTAATTTTCATTTGCTCCCTTATATCCCGTATTTGGTTTCAACCATACCCATACAATTATTTTATTGACAATTATAATCATTCTTGACTATATTATCTTGCATTTGTAAACTTAGAATTACCAATTTAAATACGTAAATTCGACATTCAATTATCTATGCATGAACAATTCCAATATAATCTTACCTTGATATACTTTAATATACTTATTTATGAAAAATATTGGGCACTACCTCAATCGCGCAATGCGCGTAAAAAACTAGTTATTCAATTAAAGAGCCCACTGAATAACATAACAATCGTTATGCCATGGAACCGTGTTCACCATTCATGGTGAACACGGTTCCAACGGTGTTAGTACACCGTTATCTTCTTCTTCTTTTTTTTTTTTTTTTTTTCCCTTAATTAATTGCGTGACTTTTCTTCTTCATTTTCACATTTCGCGGTTTCACTTTAATTTGAGGTGAGCAATGATTTCGGATATTCATAAATTATGAATTCATGCCTGCACATTCACTTTGGAACCATGAGATTATGAATTTTCTGTTATAAGATTATGAATTTTCAGTTATGAGATTATGAATTTTCAGTTATGAGATTATGAATTTTCAGTTATGAGATTATGAATTTTCTGATATGAGATTATGAATTTTCTGTTATGAAATTATGAATTTTCTGTTATGAGATTATGAATCTACATTACATTCATAATCTCATAACAGAAAATTTATAATCTCATAACAGAAAATTCATAATTTAATAAATATTTTACTTTTATGCGATTATGAATTTTCTGTTATGAGATTATGAATTTACATTACATTCATAATCTCATAACAGAAAATTCATAATTTGATCAAACGCGCGCCGTTAACTCCACATCCGAGAATTTATTTATTTTTATTTTTATTTATTTTTTTTTTTTGCGTAAAAACGACGTCGTTTGAACTTGTGTTCACCATTCACAGTGAACACGTTTCCAGGGCATAATTTGCGATAACATAATGTTGAATAGTACAGTCAAAGCATTTTCATTGATAGAAATAATAATTTAACGTTTTCCAACTCAAGCAGTAAAAAATGCGGTGAAAAGTAGAGAGGTTTCTAGCAGTGCTCATAAATTCACATACTATTACAATCTTTAATTTTTTTATTTTTTATTTTTTCATATTACACTAATATTCATATTTCACGAGACAAAACTAATTCAGTTGAGTCTCGATCAATTCTATTTAAACAACTCTCTAAAGAACATTGTTACATACTCATCTTTAATATTTTTTCTTTTGGAGGGAAAAAATACTCAGCTTATTATAATCAAACCCCGTTGAAATTGGATTTTGAATTAAGGAATTGTTAGTGAAGGAACAAAAAATAGAGTCAGTAGCATTAAAAAAAAAAATAGCCCGATTAGTTAATGTCAAGTCGCATGCTATGTTTACTATGTGAATGTTGATTATTTTTGTTAGCTGGTTTCTAATATTTTTATGATTTTAAATTTTATATTTATTTATGTTTCAAATGCATAAATATTTATTTGTAGATATGAAATTAACTTGCTCTTTGAATGCTACTGACTCTATTACAATGTAGTATCTGGTCATATACTTTCTCAATCTACTGAGGCTTGAACACACAACCTTTCAAATGGAATTCCAACCAGGGTACCATTAGACCACACAGTCTTGCTATATTAAATTAATTAATATACAAGTTAAATAAAAATAACTTAATTTTTTAAATACTATTGACTATATTACAATGTAAGGGGCTACCACTCTTCCACAAGGCCTTTGACAATTAATTATTATTAATCAATTTCAAACCAAACACATAAAATAAAATAATTTTTAAAAATATTTATATATGAGATTTACTATCCCTCTATTTTATTTCCGTTTATAATATGTGTTAATTGTTAATATTAGAAAGATTACCTTTTTGTTTTATTTTGTTTTGTTTTGTTTTTTGTTTTGTTTTGTTTTGTTTTTTTTTTTGTTTTTGTTTTTGTTTTGTTTTGTTTGTTTGTTTGTTTGTTTTTTTTTTTTTTTTTTTTTTTTTTTGACTTTCATCCCATCAATGTAAGTCCGATAATACAAGTATTGCAAATTTTTATGTGGACCCGAGTCTAAATGTTCCCCATTTATATACTAAATGTTTACAATTTACCTTTTAAAAATTTACAATTTGTATATTACGAACGCACAATGTTAACGTATATGTAATTGATTACCTTATTTTGTATTCACAAGTTCCTTTCAAATATTGCAGTTACACAATATTAACATATTAGAATTTGATGGTCTTGTATTATATTCACAAATTTCCTTCTACAGTTATTATGTGTTTTGACTTAGAAACACAATTTAATACTAAAAATACACAATTTATACGTTGTTTAGGACCAGGGTCCATGGTATAACAACTTTGCAAGAATATATTCTAAAAACATAATTTGCATTTCCTTTAAATAAATGTTTATGCATTTTAAATCTCAGATAGAATATGTACATTAAGTATCTCTATTTAAGTAACATTTTCGTCACGTATCTTTTATTATTTTGAAGTGTGAAAAAAGAAAAAGAAAAAAAGAAGAATTGAATCATTCATATCAGTTTTCATACTTAGTTGTTGATCTGTGTGTAAATCTTTATTAGTTAGTTAAGGCTATTGGAATGTTTTAATTTGTCATGTTGGTATATCAAGGAATCATGTTATTGTATTTCTACATTAATTAATTAATTTCTGGTAGTTGAAGTTTCGGTTTTGTTTTTTTGTTTTGTTTTTTTTTTTTTTTTTTAAATTAGAATATATTAAGTATCTCTATTTAAGTAATACTTTCATTATGTGTATCTTACTATTTCAAAGCATTAAAAAAGTGAATCATACACTTTCAATCATATAAGTTTGAACTTTAAACTTGAGGGTCAATCATCACTCTTATATTAGTCTGAGATCGGTAATCACAGTAAATATGTAAATCTCGAGATATGCATCGACTAGCTTACATGCCACCAAATATTTGTACACTATTGTATCAACAAAGCCACAAAGCTAAATCCATACATTTTATTTTTTCATATTTCGTGAGAAAATTGTATTTTCGTCCATAAGTTATATGGTAATTGTAAAATTTATTCGTACTTGTTGATCGTGCTCAATTCTCGCGTCCTTAAGTTATAACTGATGTTACAAATTAAATTTCATCCCTAGTGATTTGTTAGAGAAGATGACAAAATTTGCAACGTTAATTATAATTTAGAGACTAGAAGTGAACACGAAAATATTATTTTTTTTCTTTTTTAATCTTTGCTGGGATCGGATTCGCCAGCATGTAAGTAAGAGTAAAATTAGAATAAAAAATCTTTTTTTTTTCATGCTTATATGGTTCAACTGTTCAAGCATCAAGGCATGCATTTATTGTAGATAGAGCGTCGGTGCGGAGATATGTTGGTGACAGTAAATGCCCACCGACCGCCGGCAACTTCATTTAACACCAAAACATACTACGTATGGCGTGTATGGTTTAACTGTAAACCTAAAATTACTATATATATAATATGGGTATTTTTTTTGTTTGTTTGTTTGTTGTTGTTGTTTTTTTTAATTTTTTTTATTTTTAATATTGTACTCATTAAAAAAAGTTAATGTTATGATAAAATGTTTATTTTTACGTCAGAAATTATATGGACTAACTAAATAATTATTTATTTATTTTTTTAAAAATAAAGAAGCTAATTTATTAATCATAGGCTGAAACGTTTACAATAAAGTTAAATCGATGGAATGGTTAAACAATTTCTGTAGCAATGCTAAAGAAAATTTGATTCGCAGATTGTTTCACAAATTTGAAACTGGATTCTTTGGAGGAATTTAAAGCTTCTTTAATGATTTGGTCAAACGTAGACAGTGGTTGAATAGTCTTGCACACCACCTGAGTATTTATTTCCATTCTTCTGACAATATCTCCATCGGGCCGAACTGCTTATCATAGTTCAAAGGAGTCTCTTTTTCATTGTCATGTTTGTCACCCAGGATGAGATTCACATACGCCATGACCAATTATATCGTTTCATGCTTTATAAAAAAAGAACTCGCCAAATAAACGAGAGGAAGTAACTCGTCAAAACAATGAGAGAAAAAACACAGAAACGGCAAACAAAATTAAATCAGTAAAACAAAGTAAAGGGAAATAACCATGCGAAGGCAGAAAATGAAAGAAAAAATGGTGAAGGTAGAGAAGACAATGAAGGTGGACGTTGTCTGCGGTGGAGATGGCGGCAAGGGAAAGACGATTGGACGTCGCCTCTGATCCGCTTGCTTCACGGAGGCGACGGCCGTGTAGGAAGTTGAGTAGTCGAAAAGCAGAGACGAGAGAGTAAATATTTCTTTATGTTTGTGTAATAATCAACATAAGTTAGGCTTTCGAATGTACACGTACGGATGACAAGAGGCTAAACTTAGGTCATGCTTGGTAACATAGTTAATTTATCAGTAAATTTTGCTTATTTGAACACTATTAGTTGTTTAACTTAATTGGTTAAACAACCAATAATATAAGTGTTTGAACTTTTTGTAACAACTTATTGTTCCAAAACACTAAAATTAAAAAAGTTGCTACGAACAACTTTGTGAAAAAGTCATTTTTCATGTAATCAGCTATCAACTAACAACTAATTTACCAAACATCTAATGCTTTCAACTAGTCAAACACATTAACCCAATCAGTTAATAACTATCATCTAACATCTATTTACCAAACATGTCCTTAGCCTTCTAGTGTTTCAGACCTCTACTCAACAACATATTGTATCTGTAACTAGGGGTGAGCAACAAAAGCTGACCAATCGAATAACCGATACCTGATAATCTATCAAAATTGTCAATTTTCAATCGGTTATAATTATGAAGTTAAAAAATTTTGGTTATTTCAAATTTTTGGCTGGTTTTTACTATCTTAATGGTTAGGAATTCGATCAATAGGAATTTAAATGTAGGAATGCGCAATAATTGATTTACAATTGTTTGTCGGTTATAAACTTTAAAAAAATGTCAAATTTGGGCGATTATCTCTGGTAATATACATTTTTTTCCCAATTATTTCAGTTATTAATAAAAATTGACCGAGAATTGCACACCCCATCCATCTATATAACCCATAATCACCCATTCCCTTGTCCATAGGGTGGGTAAAATTTGTACTTAGCATACATATATTCTTTTGTTAGCATATAAATAGAATAAAAGAGACGGCTTATGTTGAAGTTCATAGTTTAAAAATTGATGTAATTCAAGTTTCAAAAAAAGTAGCAACTTAACTTTAAAAAAAAAAAAAAAAAAAAAAAAGATAACAACATATATATGATATATCCATCATTATTAGCAGTAGAAAGTAGATGCAACCACCACAATGTTCACATGGAGGCCATTGAAATCTTTAAATTTGGCATTTTGAACAAGTTTGAAAAAAAAAAAAAAAAAAAAAACAAAGTAGACAAGTAGTAGTACGTACTGTTTATGCAATATTCCACTAATTATAATCTATCATATATAGGGGTATAAATGTGGGTGGCCTGGGTGGGTTCTCATCTCATCTGTTCTCCCCGCCCACTCAATTCGGTCTGATCTCAGTAACTATGCAGAGCAGAAGTGTTTGTGCTCTTCTTTTCCTTTGCATTTTGCTCCTAATTTGCTTTCTTCAAAATTTGGCATCAGCCCAAGTAAGAACATAAATAATGTACATTATTATATTGTTTTTTTTTTTTTTTTTTGACGAGGGAAACCCACCGCCACTATCCGAAAGTGTGCACTGGGTGAACCCTAAATTGGTCATAGCTGACCGACTCAAATCAAGAAGGTTAGCTGGCATGGGATTCAAATTCATGACCTGTGGTCACAAGTTTTATCTTTAGTCATCAGGTTACTATGATTATTATTATTATTATTATTATTATTTTAATGTTTTTTGGGTTCAGATTCAGAATGATTTCCAGTCCACTACTACTGTGCAGCAGCATAAGAAACACAGGCATTCAGGGTTCTCCCAGGCAGGCAAGATAGATTAGATAAATCTTTAATTTAATTTAATTATTACATCTGCATTATTATATATATGTGTATATATATATATATATATATATATATATATATATATATATATATATATATATATAGATAGATAGATATAAATGAATGATATGATGAAGGTGCATGCAGAGTGTGGAGATGCATGCACATATAGATGCTCAAAGACAGCATACAAGAAGCCATGCATGTTCTTCTGCCAAAAGTGTTGCTTCAAGTGCAGATGCGTGCCTCCAGGAACCTATGGCCATAAACAAGTCTGCCCTTGTTACAATAATTGGAAGACCAAGAGAGGTGGCCCTAAATGTCCCTAGCTAGCTATCCTCACTTCAAAATTCGATCTTCTCGCTTTAATGTTATCCGCATAAGCTTAATTCATTGACTATAACTCAAAGTTAAGAACTGTATGTCGATTTAATTCTCGTTTCATTTTTTTCGAGTATTACTGACTCTGTCACAATATATTATGATATTTAATTTGGCAGAATCACATTATTATACTGACCATAAGCTCATTCCATTTGAATGTACTAGACAATATAGATATTATTGGCATTTTAGTACGGTGGTGCAAATTAAATTGCAAAATGGGGGTTGCATCATTTGATTTGATTGATTATATATGTATGTTTCAATTTCCGAGCTCAACCTAAATTGGCCTGTATTCCATGCCCAACATAATTCCCGGCCATTCATACTAACAAGGGAAGGAAACAACTCAAACAAGCTAATCACCTAACAACTGATTTTATTTTCTATTCTTTTAAAAAATATAAGTTCCCCTTCAATATATAAATATAAATAAATATAATTACTCCAAAACTTGAATTCAATGATTGAGAGACTTTAGGATTGGGGTTCAACCTTTTAGAAAGAATGATTGAGAGACTTTAAATTCTTTTTACTCGTGAAACTTAAAATAATGGCACTCATTACACCCTTACTTTCCAAAATAAAGTGCTATCAACATCTAATAAAAAGAGATTCTTCAAATCATCGAAAATTTAATCTTTTTTTGTGTAAACCACAATATGGTCCGGATCTTTCTTTGTCCGTTTAACGGTCCAGGTCCACGCGATTCGTTTCGAGAGGCACAGAAGCTGGGTTATCCCGGAATTCTCCCCACAAGAGAACTCATTTGCCACTTGAGCTACCTTGTTGGGTTATCAAAAATTTAATCTGATACTTCAATACTTCACCCTTCCAACCGCTCATCTGCCCCAATTTTTTGCCATAGTCTGCACATTGATTGCAAAAACACCAGGCAGTACACAATTTTTATTTGAGCAGGCCAGCAAGTTTAGACATAATTAAGATAGTTTGCTTAAACTTTTAGGCGCAATTTTATAGAGTTTTATTGTGAATAGGATTTAAATGATTTTTTTTTTTAAATAAATAAAATGAAGGGGTTAAACTGTTAAAGATTGAACATGTAACCTTTTAATATAATCTAAAATCACATTCTAATGTTATTAAACTACAAGCTTACAAAGCCATTGGCCATGTTAATTAGATATTATTAATTTTAGAACGTGACTCTCTTTTTTCTCTATTTTTTTTTTTTTTCAATCCAATCAGTACCATAACTATTTTCCTTCGTTTTATTAATTTTCTAGGTTTATTTCAGGTCAAATATGATGCCCGGCGTATTATTTTTAAACTTCAAATCACAATTTATATTGATTTATTTTTGGCAAAATGGTCAAATAACTAGGTTCATCTACTACTTATAAGCGTTCAATTAACTCCCTTGGTCTAAAATAAAAACCAATTTGATACATAAACTTCTTAAAATTTTTGTATTTATCATTTTTTTCAAGTTCCATCAAGTTGCTAGTTCATTTTAAGCTGACATAGGAATTTAATGAAAAAAAAGGTTGCTGACATGGATTTTTTTTTTTTAATACTATTAACTCTATTACAAGGTAGTATCTGTTCTATACTTTCTCAAACTATTGAAGACCAAAGCGTTAATACTCCACCACTGGGGTTCAATTCGATCCTATTGACATGGAATTTATTATAACTATAAATTAAAATCAAGCAAACCCTATCAGTATATATGTTCTTCATCTTTGACTTCTTTCTTCAGCTTCATCTTCTCAAAATTGAATCCGTTTCGCTCGTCTTCTTGGTTTGAAATGTCTTCATCTTCGGTTTCATTAGGTGCGCAAAACAACTTGGAGTATGAGCATGTGATGTACTGTCATTGTGGATTGAAATTCCCAATTTGCACAACTTAGCTGGTCTTTCTGAGAGGAAATTTTATGATTGTCAAAGATGGAAAGTGCAAATATATGTATTTTATTTTTATATTGATGTAATTTTTGAAATGAATCATTTAGTCACATTTATTAGAGAACAAAATGAGAATGATGCATTTGAACGTAATGGACATGTAGAATTGGAGTGATGCTACATCACCGAAAAGTGAAAAATCCACTTTTTGGTAGATTGAAGCAATTCCATAGGAAGGTGAAATTATAATAATTAATTCCACCTTTAATTTCGGTGGAATTGGAGCCACCGAAAAGTGAAAAATTTACTTTTTTGGTGGAGTGAAGCCATGTCAGGAAAATGTTATTTTGTTGGACGCCATGTAAAAAAAATTATTTTGCCAGTCACATGAGCTTAATCGAAAGTCATGTCATCAAAACAGGGTTGAACCTTGAAAAAATAGTAAATGCAAGAATTTTAGAAAGTTTAGGTATCAAATTAGCTCATATTTTAGATCAACTAATTAATTGAGCACTTGTAAGTAGTAAATATACATATTTGACCCTTTTGCCTTTAATTTTTTTTTAAATAAAAAATAAACGGTAATAATATACAACATTAAAGTCATGATTAAAGAATACGAAAAGAAATTTTTATTTTTTTTTTTAGTACTATTGACCCGGTTACATCATATCACTTACATGTAGTACCTGTTCATATATACTTTCTCAACCTACTAAAACCTAACGAGTCAATATCGCTTCTACTGAGGCTTAAAACCCATAACCACCCATTTGAGAGAGCCACTTCATGCCGCTTAACCACAAGGTTTTTAGCAAAAGAAAAGACCTTTAATTTTAACAAACTAAGCTATACATACATTTGTTATTAAAACAATACATTAATCTATGCACAAAACCAACTTGACCATCAGTATCAGTAAAAGGAATATTGAGTTTCACACACACCAAAAAAAAAAAAAAAAAGCATACCTAATTACTCTAAACTTTCACAAAAAGGCATCCCATATGGCCATATGCCATATATATGCCCATATGTGGGCAGAATTCATCCAAATGTCCATTTAACTCCAAATCTTTTTAGGATCCAACGCATATAGAAACGTAGGGAATCGATTTTGTTCATTAACATTCCTAAAGTCATTATTTTCAAACAAATTTCCATTTCTATGCACCACAAAATAAAAAGCAAACTTGATTTTCGACCCAATTTACTTCTTGTTAAATACAGTAGGATAATTTAATTTATTAATCTTTTTTTAATTCTTATCTTGATTTCTTTTTATGGTGACGAGGCCTGAAAAAGTACAACCACTAGCACTAGGTATATCTAGCTTTGTAATCTTAGTTGTCAAAGGACCACAATGAGGTAATCTAGTCTAGGTTGTACTATCACACGAACAACTCGACTAATTTGACTGTGGTTTCACTTTGGGATAATAAATAATATAATTTAATTACGACAATGGTATAAGGGAAACATTAATAAAAAAAAAAAAATTAGTATAATTTTTAAAATATGTCCTGCATGAAACTCACTAAACCTAAACAATTATGGAGTACAATTGTGCAACTCTAAAATTTTATAAACTCAATTCTAACCTTACCCAGTTACATAATACTACTACTACTACTACTAACCTTACCCAGTTACATACTAATATACTCGATTCTAACCTTACCCAGTTACTACTACTATTTTTTTTGAAGGGAAACTAAGAAATTGCATTAATAAGCAACCAATAACGAAATATAGGCCGGTGGCATAGTGAACCACGTGACCAGGACAGACAAAGAACTAGATGTCCATGCTAATACATGAGCAACATGATTCGCTGACCTATTGATATGGCGAACAGACACGTTCACAATATCACTAGCAATGCTACGACATTGCTTAACAATCAGTTCAGCATATGAAAGATCCAAATTACACCAATTAAAAGACGAACAAAAATTAAGACAATCAGATTCAAGAACAATATTATTGAATCAGTTACTACTACTATTATTATTATATTGAAAAGGTAAATGTACAATTAATCTATTAGAATCACATACAATATTAATTTTTAACATATATTTTCAGTAGCCAAGTAGGTTGTAGCTCAATGACACTTTCTTTAGTGGGACATTGACTCTTTGTGCTTCAAAAAGACATATATTTTAGTACAATTAATTAATAAATTATGCTCACTATCAATACATACATTATATTATATTAAATAATGGAAGAAAACAACCTTACATAGAATAACTAATAATTTGTTTGGAATATAGAAAATGATTTTCAAAATCAGTTTTTAGATTTGTCAATATTTGACTATTAAAGAGAAATGAAGGTAACAGAAAATATTCATTTCAGTTAAAGAAAACATGACCCATTTTGACAAACAAAATTCTTTCAATATTTTTACTCGCAAGTGTTAAAAGTAAAATCAGAAATAGAGAGATAAAAGAGAAAGGGAGATTCATTCATCTGTATTTTCATATTATAACAAAACATATATATATATATATATATATATATATATATATATATATATATATATATATAATATACATTTGTAATGGAAGGTAATAATAGAGACATAAATACAGAAATCGTTACAACTGTTATATAGTCTACAATAATGTCCACATAATAATATATTTATAACACTCCCCCTTGGACATTATTTGATCACGATCTTGTCTCGTAAAAAACTTGCTAGGAAAACCTCGTGGGGAAAACCTAGACAAGAAAAGAGTACAATAGAAAATATATTCATGCCTCATTAAAAACTTCACTGGGAAAACCACGTGGGAAAAACCTAGTTGAAGAAAAGAGTACATGATATATGTAAAAAGAGTAAAAGACATTTTTTGTCCTAGACTTATAGTGGCACGGACAATTTTAGTCCTCTTTAAAAAAATCAGACAATTTGTGGACACTCTTATTATGACGAGGAAAATTTTGGTCCTCCGTCACTCTTTCCGTTAGTTGCACCGTTTGAGTAGGGGTATTTGGGTCTTTTCATCATACCTCCTCCTTGCAGCCATGGCACCAGAGGCACCCCCACAGCTTAGGATCGCAAGCATGAGGAACCAAGAAATAAAGCCCCGGAGTTACCAGGAACCATATCGGAACTGTTATGTAGTAGGCAATCCACCCGTCGTCACTCACACCCCAGTAAGCAGCCATGGTCACCGAAGACGCGAGGATGAGCTTGTGGCGGTCATGGGGCGTAGTGACCCCAGCGACGTAGTAGCGGCGCACGAAGAGAGCAAGCGTAACGAGCATGAAGATGAAAAGCGTGGCGATGGAGAGTAGGTTGGCCAAAATGTCCAGTTTCGTGAACAAGGCAATCACCGCAGTGGATTCCATCATTGTAGTGGTGGCGTTGTCCCAGTCTTGGCATTCATTGCGGCATTCACGTGGGAGAACCAGGGCGGAATCATGTGGGTTCGCGCAATGTGGGTTAGATACCGCACTTGCCAAACCCCACTCACCAGCAACACGGAGGTCATCCCTTTCAAAGCTCCAAAAGCAACCAAGTACTAAGCCCACGACCACCCAACACTCCTGAAAGCCATCGAGAACGGAGTGTTTTCATCAATGTTGTCATATTTCTGCATCAAACACGTACAGGGTGATCGCCATCAAGCAGTATATAGTGGTTGTAATCACCATCGACTCCACCAACCCGATCAGAATCTTTAGCTGGATTCTTCATTTCCTCCGCCATGGTCGAAACCGCATCGAAACCCACATAAGCAAAAAACAGCACAACCGCCGCCTTGAAAACCCCCTCGGGACCAAACGGCGCAATGGGAGTATAGTTGCTGGCATCGGCTTTGATGATGCCACATACTATGATGAACAAAGTCACGATTATGTGGACGACATTGGCAACGTAGTTGAGGCGGGAAGAGCTCTTTGTGCTGAGAATTGCAATGAAACAGATGATTACGCAAACTCCAATGACAATGGGGTCGAGCTTGTTATAGCCTTCTGCTAAACTGTGAGCTTTGATGAGAAAAGAATCGGGATGCTGGTTGCAGAGAGTGGCTAAGTAAGATGTCCAGGACCGAGCCACTGCTGCTCCGCCGATCACATATTCGAGAAGGATGTTTCACGCGGCTAGGCCACAAAGTCACCTAATTAAAGTTCACTAAGAAGGAGTTATGATGAAAAGACGCAAATACCCCTTCTCAAACAGGGCAACTAACAGAAAGAGTGACGGAGGACCAAAATTGTCCTCGTCACAATAAGAGTGTCCACAAATTGTCTGATTTTTTAAAAGAGGACTAAAATTGTCCGTGCCACTATAAGTTTAGGACCAAAAATGTCTTTTACTCATGTAAAAACATATATTGTATTAGTCGCCTCATTAAAAAGCTTAACTTAAGAAAACCCTGTGGGAAAAACTTAGTTAAGGGAAAAATAGTACAACCATAAGCCTTTAGGGCGCAAACTGCATAATCTTCAGGATTTTGGGGTTTGTCCATTTAAGCAATTATTTTGCAACATTTCCCCAGTTATATCATTATATCATACTCATGCCTCGTTAAAAACCACACTAGAAAAACCCAATGGGAGAAAACTAGTGAGGAAAAGAGTACATGATGTGTTGCAAATAGTGCACAACTGTTAGTCTTTTGTGACTTAATCTTCAGGATTTTACGTCCAATCTTCCGGATGATTCGAGTAAATGTACTCCCGTCTCCCCCTGAAGATAACAATCTTCAAGTTTTACAAATATTTCAAAATTTGAAGAAATGGATTGGACAAATCTTCTGGATTGTCACTAGAGTAAATATCTAATAATCTTATGGCTCTTCTAGAGCTCATATAACATTTGTGCAACACAAGTGTTATTGTCCTCATTTTGAACATTTAGGGAAATTCATTGTATAACCAGTTTGAACTTGGCATTGCGGGGATCAAACAAAATAGTCAGTACCCAAGTAGCCTATTAAAATAATATCATAGTATCGTGCTGATAACGTGTTAAAAGTAAAATCAGAAATAGAGAGATAAGGGAGAAATGGAGAAACATCTCTTCATTCATCTGTATTTTCATATTACAACAAAACATATATATATTATACATTTGTAACGGAAGGTAATAATGGAGACATAAATACAGAAACCGTTACAACTGTTATATAGTCTACAATAATGTCCACATAATGATATATTTATAACAGCAAGACATTTTTTGAATTTCTACCTCACGCTTAATTCTCTCTCACCCTCTCCCTTTACAAGGTGTTTGGTTGGAGAAAATTACAATTTCATTCCCACATAATTCCCACATATTTCCGAAGGCAAGCAAATCCCTTCATTTGGTTGGAGTGAATTGCAATTCTGCAGAATTGAAATTCCATCATTTTCATGGAATTAGAATCCCATGCCCCTCTTGGTATTTCAGTTCCATGGATTTTATGAAGAAAAAAAAAAGTAACTTTGAGAAAAAATTACCCTCTATTTTAACATAAAATTGATGTTTGACCTATCTCTTTCGATTATATCGTGTCTTTTTCTTATACTCTTAACACAAAATGTCAATCAGTAGGCCAACCTCAATCAAATATGTTTTCCTGAAACTCCCTTATCTATTTTATTACTTTCATTATGTAATTCTACGGTTCATTTATACAACGTTTTACATAAAATTTCAAAAGAAAATTTTAAATTTAATAATAATAATAATAACAACAACAACAATAAGTATGAGCATTTTGAATTTTATACTACTTATTCCCTTTCAATTCCTGTGTATACCAAACATTAGAATTGAAATTCCTGCAAACCAAACACTGGAATTTAAATTACCACTTTATTTCCACACTATTATTCTCTCATTAAATTGCAATTCCTTTCCCACCTAATTTGCTCCTTCCAACTAAACGCCCCGTTAAAGTAGTGCCAAATGAGAGGGTTGAACACTTGACCCACCATATGTTTGGTTATTATTTGAATTAGACTGGACAATTCTAGTTAAAAATATGAATCAGGTCGAGTTAGGCCAAAAAAATATTAGTCTAGTCCGACCCATAACTCAAAAGATTTTTAAAAAATGTAATTTTTTCTTCAATTTCGTTAGTTTAAACTTATTGCATTTATTGATGGTAGATTAAAATATTGAATTGGGTTGGGCTGAACCAAAGAACAAAAATCTTAGCTCGGCCCATAACCCAATTTTTTAAAAGGTTTTTTTTTTTTTTTTTTTTTTTCATAGTTATTACATTTATCGGCTGGTTATATCGTGGACCGCGGTGCACATGCTCCGCGGTCAAAACGGCGCCGTTAGTTTTAACGGAACGCGCATGTTTTTGTATGTTAATTACCAACTGACAGTACAGTATATCTAAACCGACACTGCTTTACGTATTATTTTTATATTATCAAATGAAACTGCAATTATATCAAAATAATACTGTAGTTGTGGTGAAATGAAACTTCAGTGTATATAAAATGAAACTGAATAACATTTCACATATTTGAGTGTATATTGTACAATGAAGCTATAATTATATCAAAATGATCATGTAGTTGTGTCTTAATAAAACTATAGTGTATATAAAATAAAACTATAGTGTATATAAAATAAAACTACATTTTTACATATTTAAGTCTATAAATATTGAATGAAACTATAGTTATATCAAAATGAAACTGTAGTTAAGTTGGACCAAACAATAAAAATCTTGGTTCAACCCACAACCCGAAAAATAAAAATAAAAACTAATTTTTTCTTGGGAAAATGGCACTTTTTCCCCCTATGTTATATATTTATAGCATTTTTTCCCCCTTAATTATTTAAGTGGCTCTTTTTCCCCCTGAAATGTTAAATGGACATATTTACCCTTAAAATAAATATTTCATTTATTTTTATTCTCCAATAAATTATTACTATAATTTGGTTCAAACCAGATACTATAGTAACCAAACCAAAATATTTCAATTACAATTTATAATCAAAATGCGATATTTAGAGTTTATTAAAATCGCGAACTGGAATGGCCGGTTCATGTTCCGAACTGAAAAATAAAATACATTTATTGTTGAATTTAAACTATTTTAAAATAAAAAATAAAATTTTAAAATAAAGATGGTTCAAAATCGCGAACGGGATCCGGAACCGCCGGTTCATGATCCAGTTTTTTTTTTTTATTCTTAAATTTAATAAATTGAAATCCAAATATTGGGTTCTAGATCTGAATCATAACTGAAAACTTTTAATTCGATTGCTATAGTGTCTGGTTCAGTTCGAACCGAACCGTGGTAATCGCTACATATACGCAATAATTTGTTGGAGAAGTAAAATAAATAAAATGTTTACTTTAAGGGTAGAAATGTCAATTTAATATATTAGGGGGGAAAACCACCACTTTTAAAATAATTGAGGGGACTAATGTGCTTACATAAATAATTGAGGGGGAAAAAGTGCTTTAAGTATATAACATAGGGGGAAAAAGTGTCATTTTCCCTTTTTTCTTTTAATTTCTTTAGTTTATAGTTATTACATTTATCACTTTCAAAAAAAAGTTATTACATTTATCATTGTCTATTAAATATGAGTTGGAATGAGACAAACCAAACAATAAAAACTTTGGTCCGGCCCGACCTATATATCCCTTTTTTTTTCCTTTTTTTTTTTTTTTTAATTTTCAATTTCTTTAATTCAGAATTATTATATGTACCACTTTATGTATTTATTTTTATTATAATAAGTTACGAGTTAGAACCAAATTAAACAGAAAAATAAGTTATATTATGAAAAATATAATTTTCTAACTATCAACCTAACAAAAAAGAACGTTTTATGACTTTTAGTCAAACACACGTAAATGAATTTTTTTTTTCAAACATGATTCATTTTTTTGGAAATCTTTTTTTTTTTTTTTCCTGATACGTTTCTAAACGGACCCTAAGTGAAATACACAACCAACTCACAGGCTCAAAAGTCAAAACACATTTTATCACTCTAAAAGGGATAACCGAACGATTAGAACGTGATCACAAATTCAATTCTTGCCAATCTATTATCGGTCAAGCCCATTACACAAAATCTTTAGATAACGGCTACATTTTCCCCCTTAGTCCAAAAAAACATGCCCTCTCTCCTTTTCCGTTTCAGCTTTGCTTACACACCAACCTTTACAACATTGTTTAATAGACAGTCAACGTAACTAAAAAAAAAAAAAAAAAAAAAAAAAAAAGCAAATACGATGTTTATTAAAGTATGCGAAGATGCCAGCGACAAGCTAACCACAATTATCGTAAGACATAAACTATTAACTGTCAGGCTATTAAAAAAATCACGTTAATCACAGGTTTATGAGAGTGGCTGTGATTAATTATTAAAATTTTTAGATAAGATTAAACATAAATTTAGTACAGTTGGCATGTCAAGAAATGGTGTCTACTGTTTAAGGGACAGGTCTTGTTCATGCACCAAATACATACAAAGAACGCACATCTGTCTGTTGCACCGTTTTGTGAAATTTCAATGTCTTGATTTGTACGTAGGGGTTTTGCATTTCTGTAAATATTGGATCTCCAGAAAAAATAAAAATAAAAATGGAAACAAAAAAAGTCCAGGTGCATTCTCTTGTAGATGCACTGACACATCTTCATGTTCTCTTGCCTTAAGAATCATAGATGTTGCTTTAAATGTACATGTTTGCCCCCCTACTCCTATGCAACTACTTTTTGGCTGTGTTACATATGGACCTCATTTAAAACATAGTTAGTTTATCAGTCAATTTTGACTTATTTGATCATAATTAGTTGTTTAACTTGGTTAAACAATCAATATGAGTGTTTGATTAATTAGCATTTTGTAACAACTTATTGCGCCAAAATACTAAAATTCTAAAAGTTTTTCAAAGTAGTGTTTTTTTAAATAAGCTTTTTGAGAAAGTCATTTTACATATAATCAGCTATCAGCTAATTTACCAAACATCTTTCTACAATCAGCTAATATTATCAACTTGTCAAACACATTAACCCAATCAGCTAACAACTATTTACCAAACATCCCCATAATCTTTTATAGCACCCCCATGATCTTTTATAGCTATATGTTGAAAAATTGCTCGATGTCGTCAGAAATGACATTATCATACCTAACATTATAAATAAAAAAAAACAGTTAATTAGTTATTTACAGAAGTGATGTTTATTTTTTTGTTTGTTTCTAATAGTAGGCTTAGTGACCCTAACCTTGAGGGCATTGTGAAAAAGGTAAATTGACACGATGTGTCTCAATGAAAGAGTGATTAAGTACACTAATACCCACAAAGGATTCAACTCTAACTTGTGTTATTGCGTGCAAGTATCAAACTCTCATCAACTTGCATTCGGCCATTCGCTAGGCTAGCGATGCTGAGACTTACCTCACTTTGTTTTTATATCGCTGAGTTATGTTGGAGCAGAGAGCATTATCTATAAAAATGTCACGGTTCTCAATCTAAAAGACAATGTGAAAGAAGTAAATCACGAAACGTATCTCAATAAAACAGATCACTAAACCCACCATTGAGTTATGTTGGGTAGGAGGTATTATATAATGTTTTTATAATAAGAGGTTGGGGCGTTGGGGGTACTGTTGGCTATGCTGGGAAAAAGTGGAGGGGTCAGGAGTGATGGCCATTTGAACCCTTCAAAAGTATGCTGACTTTGGGGTTAGATAATGAGGATCACATGATATATGGTGGAGGGTCATCATACTTTATTGAATTGGCCATTCAACTACCAATTTTCTGTGATTTTCTTTTATATCTAGCAGATAACTTTTCTGGGTCCAATTATTTCCTCTATCTTAGCTCATTGCTTCAAAGAACAAGCTAGCTTTCATGTCACCTATAATATCTTGTTCTTAGCTCCGGACATAGCTCCATGATAAATCACAGCACCACGTCTCGAATTGAACAAAGGCTGAACTTCACCTCGAATCGAACAGGGACTGAACTTGATCAATTTGGTCGACGCCCGACATGTATAATCCAACAATATTAAGGTTCGAATTCTCAATGGGGAAAAATCTCAACCTTAGTGCAAAAAAAGCACTCAAGCCCTGTTTACTGAGGCACAACCCACAAATTAGCTCGATAAAATCATAGCACTACGTCTCGACTCGAATCGAACAGAGGCTGAACTCGACCTTGAATCGAGCAGGGGCTGAACTCGACCAATTTGGTCAATGCCCAACATGTATAATCCAACAAATATTAAGGTTCGAATTCTCAATGGGAGAAAATCTCAACCTTAGAGCAAAAACAAACACTTAAACCCTATTTTACTGAGGCACATCCTACAATTTACCTCATCGATCTTACAATCTCCAAGGCAGGGGCGAGGGTCCCTTGGGTTTAGGGTTTACCCTGATAATGTTTTTAGGTACAGAAAGTGATGGTGTCAGCAGCCACCAACTAACAAGTTCAGAATTCTCCCTGTATGACTATCCTGGCAGAGGATGAAGCCACAAGAAAGTAAAATTAAAGAATCTTGTGATTGCTAATCAAAGTTGTGATAAGGTCCAAAAACACAACAAAATACACAACACAACCTAGTTTTTGAATAGTCACACAAACTTACATCAAAGCATCAAAATGCCATTAGGACAATATAATGTATAGCCAAACATAGACAACATTATAGACAGCAAAATATTGCATTCTCTAATCTATTACATAAACAGAATCAAAATAGAGTAGCTTATTTATGGAACAATCAGCAAATACTTGAGCAGATGGTTCCTCCCTGCCCACTTCCCCACCTTGTCTTACTATGCATAGGCTACAAGGAAATACTGTTACTACAATAACTGTAAGCGCGACTATAAGTCAAACTGACCATCGCAGATCGATTGTGATCCATAGACCCGAAAAAGCTGATAATTTGGCAATGTTTGGGCTAGTACCAAATGGGAACGTCTTTCTTTGGCATGGCATCCCGGGCAGCACCGGGTAAACCTTCATTGTAGTCGACGGGTTGTAGGTTGAATGGGGAGCCAAACATGAAGGGGAAAGCCTCGTTAGAGTTTCCATTGAAAAGTGGACCGAAAGGAGAGTTCAAAACCTTGCACTGATCGAACCGGTCTCCGGGTGGAACCATGGGGCGATTACTGTCCTCGAAGATCATCCCCTCCATCATGGCTCGTTGATTTTGGAGGTACTTGTCCTGTTGGGAGTGAATACTAGGTTGTTGAAGAGAATGGTCTTTGGTAGCAGCAACATTGGCAGAACAGGAGTTTTTGTTTGCCTGAATGTTTGTTTCGTAAAAAGACATGAGATCGTTAATCGTCCTTTGCCCGTCTTCTGGTACCCCGAGTCCCGAGAGATCGAAGGACAACGGGGCTGAATTGACTGGCAGAGAGGCAGTCTTGGGTTGAACAAACTGTTGGGAAAAGACTGGCGGTTTGGGTTCGTTAATATGAAACTGTGACACACCAAATTGTGCAGAATTCCTGTAAGGGCAAGATAATTGATGGTTATCTCGGGCTGATCTGTCTGGAAAACCGAGACGAATCTCGCTGTGAGGACATCGAAGGGAGTCACATGTATAGATCTTGTGATCCAACAGAATAGGCAGGTCACTTCCCGGCTTCCTCTTCCTTGTGAAATCGAAGTTGGTGACGATATTGATATCATCCTTGATTGAATGAGGGGGCTGTTGCACCATTAGCCCGTCTTGGAATCTCTCGACCCCCAAATTCAACAAACTCAGGTTACTCGGTTTTTGCTCGTGAATATCGAAGTTGGGTCTATCGTCAATCCCTTCAACATCGTACTCGGTACTGTCGTTCATGGCGAACGTTCCACTCCCGCCAGCTGAGGACAAAGGCGGGCAGCGATCGGGGTAAAGCTCCCGAGCCAAGGACTCCTCTTGGTTAATGATGGCAAGCCAAGTGGCACTTTCCTTGGCTGTCATCTTGTCTTGCAAACACTTCGATTGCCTAACGAGCTTCCTTATCTTAGCCACATCGGGGTGCATATGCTTGATGACAGCGGTGAGGACACCGACCTTCCACGCCTTCTTCAAATCGTGAGGCTTCTTATAAGGGGGAGGCCCTTGCTCCTTCTGTAGCCCCAATTGAGGCCACCACTCCTCGTTCCCCGTGGGCCACCAGGGCGGGGGAACGCCTTTCTCTAAGGGAAACCGCCTTTGCGGGGGGTCACAATGCTGCATCAGAGCTGAAAGCAAGGACCCAAGGGTAGTGTCTTGAAGCTCCTGCAAGGTATGAGGCGTTGGACCGACCGGTTCAGCGCCCTCGTTTTGCCCCGGGATCGCATTCTCTGCTTGGTACTTTGCTATGGCAGCTGGACCATTCCGATCGAATCTCACCTTATCCTTCCACCACTCCCTGAGATTATCAGACGCCCCGCTCACGGGCTTCCCCTTCTCCGGGATAATCCCGTAAACGAAACCCTGAGCTTTACACACCTCCATCATCTTCAACATGTACTTCAAGATCCCGTCTTGCGCCCGAGACATCTTCTTCCTCCTCGCCTGCTCCTGAGACTGGCGTTGCTTCGCAGAATCCACGCCATCGTTACTACTCCTATTCATCTCCTTGAGCCTCTTCAACTTCATCTTGTCCCTCCACATCCTCCTCTCCAACTCATCTACTTCGATCTCTTCTTCGTCGCTATAGTCATCCTCCACCACCACCGCCTCCCCCGCCTCCATAGGAGGCGGCAGAGGCGGCGGAGCAACCACATCAGCAGGCTCCTTGAGTGCAGCCGGGAAGAAATCAAGATCACCACAGAACCCCATCTCCTCAAACATCATCATCTTTACAGTCTAAGCCAAAATCCCAAGAACCCCAATCAGGATTTGATTGCTAAACACAAACTTGGAGTATTATTCCCCACTAAATTGCAAAATCAAGGTGGGAATACCAGGAAAAAGCTTCTCAATTTTGCTTATTTCTTCTCTCCTGCAAATATAGCATACTGGAAATTAACAAAACAAACTCAATTCATTCATATGACAGACTAAAACAGTTATATGCCGCAATTGGAACAGAAGAGCAAAATGATAAACATGTGAAATCACATAAGAAACGTGGAGTCCAATACAAAGCAGAAAGAAAAAGGTAACTTTTTTGACAGATAGAAAGTTAAAAAAAATCCGTGATTAGACACTAGCTATCAAAACTCAAAAGAATCCTGTGTCTGTAACACAATTTTCCCGGGAAAAAAAAAAGGAAATTTGAGAAGAACACCTAAAAGAATCTGTCATACCATCCCAGATCTAGAAAATCATGAAATGCACTCATAACCACAAAAACCCAGAAAAAAATAGGTCTAAAAAAAACACAAGAAAAGTATCCAATGAAACAAAGACATCCTCAACTACTCAGGTTTCTATCCTTGAATTCAACAACTAATAGAATGAACAAATCAAGGGAAAAACAAAAACTGTTTGCAAAAGCTAAAATCCATACAACAAAGGGCCAGAAAAAATGGCATCAAATATAAAGAATCTAAAGACAAACCAATCTTGGTTTGCAGAAAGAGTAAACAAGAATCCAAGAAAGAAAACAGCAGGCATATATCCAAAGAAAAAGAAGAAAAGCACCAAAAACAGATAAAGATCTCAGCTTTGATCCAAGAAAGATGGGGCTGCCGCCATTATTACAACTACAACTACTAGTTTATCCAAGGCAATAGCTTTTTTACCTCAAAGGGTGCGTTGGATTGTCCTTATTCTTTACACAAAAAGGAAGAAAATTCTGTTCACCTAGTCTCCTCTATTTGAGAATAATTAGACCTTCTGGACTTCAGAGACTACAGAGAGACAGGGAGGTGATGGGACAGAAGCGCAGAGAGACAAGGAGAAAGAAATGAAAGTTACAGCAGCGCTAAAAATACTATTTATAAATTTTATAAATTGAGAGTAGGAAATTCAATAAATGAAAATATATTATATTATATTATTCCCATTATCTTCTGACGGGGGTGATAGAATACGGGTGAGAGTTGCCATTTTTGGTACATCCCAAACCCTTTAATCTTCTTGTGTTTTACTTATCCTCTTTTAACATTGCACGTTCAGTTGATACCTTGTGGCTCTCCTTGAAAAAATATCATAAAATAAACTCGAATAGATGAACATTGATTCTTTGGATTACAACAGTTAAAGAAAGTATATTAAACAGATACTACCTTGTAATAGAGTCTATAATACTAAAAAAAAAAATCTCTTTAACAGTTTTTATAATAATTTTATATACAAAAAGTGAAATTTCTCGTGTTTCGAAACCTGATCGGATAAAATTTATGGAGAAATCACTTTTGGAGAAAGAATTAGGTAATTTCTTTCTAATTATACTAACAGGGCGTTTGGTTGGAGGGATTTTTAAATTCCCTTCCCACTTAATTTCCACCTAATTCCAAAGACCATTAAATTCCGTAGTTTGGTTGGAGGGACCCCCATTTTCATGGAATTAAAATCCCATGTCCCCCCTGGTATTTTAATTCCTGGGAAAAAAAGATAGTGATGAGTCAAAATTACCCCTTCATTTTTTAACCTAAAATTAATGTCTAACAACAACAATGGACATTTTTGACTTTATACTACTTATTCCCTTTCAATTCCCATATATACCAAACATTGGAATTGAAATTCCCAGTAATTTTATTCCTGTCAACCAAACACTGGAATTTAAATTCTCACTTTATTTCCAATAATTCAACTCCCATGGAATTACAATTCATTTCCCACATAATTCCCTCCCTCCAACCAAACGCCCTGTAAATTTATTTTTTATTTATTAGTGGACTTTTTAATAAAAAAAAGTAGATTTTAAAAATATGGTAACATGTTGTAAGGTAATCTAATTTCAGATTATTCAATAAATGATAGGATGAAACACATGGTGGAATGTTATATTTGGAATATTTAATCTTTTTTTCTTCAATTTCATTTTTTTTTAAACAATTTCATTTTCTTTAAATGCATTAGTAAAAAAATGAAAGTGCTTTTATGTTGATTCATAACGATATTGCATATTAAAAACAATAACGAAAGTTATACATTTCTTAATTTGATAAATTTTTGAAGAATTTTCCTTTTAAAACAAAAAGAAAAGAACAAATATCTAACTTAATAGCTTGAGTTAATCTGTAAACCAGCTACTAATATCTAAGGTTATAGTATCAATTCTTGTATATGTGTATTATGTTAAAAAATTTTAAATTAGTTATATTCATATAAGTATGAATTAAACTTTGTGAGTATAATTTGAAATTAATTTAGATTATTTTCATAATAAAATTAATATCATGTGCTATACGTAGGCAATGTAGCGCAAAAAAAAAGTCTTTTTTTCGTGTGATAAATGTTGTATAGTGTACTTTTTTTTTTTTTGGAATAAAGTCTAAATTGGTCAGTGAACATAACCTGAAAGTGCAATTAGGCCAATGAAAGGAAAAAAAAAGTACAATTAGATCACTGAATACTCTAAATGTATGCAATTTCACCTGATAACAGGTTACCATCAATTTCAGAGTTGACATTTTAAAATAATTTTTAATAATTAACTATAAAATACAAAAAAAAAAAAAAAAAAAAAACACCGAAATGGATTATTTTTAATAATTAACTTTAAGAATAAGAAATAAAAAATAAAAAAAAAACATTGGGGTGAAATGGATAATTTTTAATAATTAACTTTAAAAATAAAAAACATTGGAGTGAAATGGATAATTTTTAATAATTAACTTTATTATATTTTATTTTTATTATATTCATATTTTATTTTTTATTTAAATTTATTATTAAAAATTATTTAAAAGTGCCAACTCACCATCCTGGTAAGCAAGCAACTTGATGAAATGGATGATAACCTACTATAAGGTGAAATTGCATACATTTGGAGTGTTCAGTGGCCTAGTTGTACTCTTTTTTTCTTCATTGACATAATTGCACTTTCAGGTTACATTCAGTGGCCAATTTGTACCTTATTCCTTTTTTTTTTTGCTCTTTTTTTTTTTTCTTTTCTTTTAAAGGTGGAAAAAAGCTTTCTTCAAATAAACAAAAAACAAAAAAAAAAAAAAACAAAAAAAACAAAAAAAAAAAAACAAAAAAAAAAACAAAAAAAGTGGAAAAAGCTAGCTAGATTAAGCTATGGAAATTGCTAATAATAGTAGTAGTAAGAATAATACATTTATTTGGGAGAAGAATAATACATTTATTATTATGCGCATGAAATATTTTAATTTTTTTTTTTTGAATGCATGAAATATTTTAATTTAGTTTTTGAAATATTATAGATTATGAACTTATACAATGTAAATTTTTTTATGACCATAAACTCACAACATTATTCCAGGGTGCAAACTGAATAAACTCCATTATTGTGTAATAATTTATAAATTACATACAAAATATAATTTGCACTCGTTAACTAGACACATACACTACTGGAAATTATGGAATTTTCGCCCACCTGAAAGTGATCTTGAATCAAGTTAAAAGCAAAAAAGTGGTCAGAAATAGCAACAAAAGTTTTTCCGGATACCAAAAGTGGTCGGAACAAGACTTTCGACTTGATTTAAGATCACTTTCAGGTGGTCGAAAATTCCATAATTTCCAGTAGTGATAAAATGGGACATAGGAAATATAATGTACTCTATAATAATATTTTAACTTAATGAAAACAATCAAATGTATATATAATTAAAAGTGAAATTTCTTGTGTTTCGAGACCACATTTTGTTCGGATAAAATTTATGAGCCACAAAATCAAACTTCAATGGTGGGATATTGACTCATTGGACTACTACGATTAGAGAAAGCATATTGAACGGATACTATATTGTAATAGAGTTTATAGTGTATTCAAAAAAATTCTCTTTAACAGTTTCTTATAATCTTATATACAAAAAGCGAAATTTCCGTGTTTCGAGACCACATTTTGATCGGATAAAATTTATGGAGAAATCACTCAGAGAGATCTTATATACAAAAAGTAAAATTTCTCATGTTTCGAGACCACATTTTGATCGGATCAAATTTATGGAGAAATCACTTAGAGAGAGAATTTTCTTTTGAGTACTACTAAAGTACAAAGAGTCAATTACACCTCCACTGACCCTCAAACCTACAATCTCTCAAATGGGAGAGCAACTTGGTGCCACTAGACTACAAGGTCCTTGGTAGATAATTTCTTCCTAATTATATTAAATTTATTTTTTATTTGTTAGTCGACTCTTTAATAAAAAGGTAGATTTTAAAAATATGGTAAGGCGTTGTAAGGTAATCTAATTTCAGATTATTCAATAAATGATAGGATGAAACACATGGTGGAATGTTATATTTGAAATATTTAATCTTTTTTTCTTCAATTTCATTTAAAAAAAAAAACCAATTTCATTTTATTTAAATGCATTAATTAATAAAAAATGAAAGTCGCTTTTATGTTGATTCATAACGATATTGCATATTAAAAACAATAACGAAAGTTATACATTTCTTAATTTGATAAATTTTTGAAGAACTTTCCTTTTAAAACACAATGAAAGAACAAATATCTAACTTAATAGCTTGAGTTAATTTGTAAACGAGCTACTAATATCTAAAGTCATACTATCAAGTACCAATTCTTGTATATGTGTATTATGTTAAAAGATTTTAAATTAGTTATTTGTATAAATATGAATTAAACTTTGTGAGTATAATTTGAAATTAATTTAGATTACTTTCATAATAAAATTAATATCATGTGCTATATGTAGGTAATGTAGCGCAAAAAAAATGTCTTTTTTTTCGTGTGATAAATGTTGTATAGCGTACTCTTTTGTTTTGGTTTGCTCTTTTTTTTTTTTTTTTTTTAAAGGTGGAAAAAGCTAGATTAATCTATGGAAATTGCTAATAATAGTAGTAGTAAGAATAATACATTTATTATTATGCGCATGAAATATTTTAATTTAGTTTTTGAAGTATTATAGATTATGAACTTATACAATGTAAATTTTTTTATGACCATAAACTCACAACATTATTCGAAGGTGCAAACTGAATAAACTCTATTATTGTATATGTTGGAACCGTTGATAGAAAACAAATAATAATCAAATAAAAATTGACTATTATTTCCTGGAAAGAGGGGAAGAAAAATTGAAGAAATTGGCTAGTGTTTGGTGTTGGGTTTTTGCAAGAGTCGAGTGAGCACTCTCTCCTTAAAACCTTATTTGCCACCTCCCAAAGATGCTAGGAGCGTTGTGGCCTAGGCTTCCTAGGATAAAACTTGCTAATGATTCAATGTTTGAGCACTCAAACAAGGAATCCGGCGAGCAAGACAATGGCTATGAACACAGTAGGCCAAGAAAGAGTAGAAGCAGAGAGGTTTTGAAGCTGAAAAACCGAACTTTCGTGTTCTATGTTTCTGTGTGTAAAACTCTACTGCCTCTACCCTCTCTTATATAGGGTTGAAGGAGCCAATAGCCTTTATTATGGCAATTAAAAATGACATTAAAGCTGCCTTCCAACAGCTATAACAGCAGGCCACTACCTGGGAATTGAATTCAGAATTCAAAATTGGAATTAATAGACAATTAATTCCGTAACAGATGAATTCAATCCCCTCAACAGTCAGAACTTTCGGGTTCCTGACCGTTAGCGTACAGGGTTCGGTCTCAACTTTCGACCTCATCCAGTTTCGGCCCTTGCACCTCTCGTGGACTCTGTTGCACGAGAGTTGTGCTCTCGGTGCACCACTACACGAGAGTAGGTGGCTGTTGCACGAGAGTTGTGCTCTCGGTAGAACCGAACCAAGTGGCTATACCAGTTGGAAAATGATACCGAAGTTTGGCATAACTTAGCCCGCAAGGCCAGCGGCGCACACGAGCTCGGGCTTGAATCAAGCCTTTTTCAATCTCTGAA